ACCGCCGCCGGCGGCTGGCTGGTACTCAGATGTGTATTCTTGCCTTGGCTTTCTCTCACTTGTCTAACTCTCTGTCCTGTGATGGCACACTTGGTGTGTTTCTCTGGCTTAGGACTGTTCACTGGAACTCTAAAACTGCTTTCTATGCGAGAGCTTGTTCAGCTTCCAGCTTCTCCTCCGCCATCTTGTCCTCTTAATAGGATTTTTTTACAAGTCTTTCCATCTCCTAACAAACGGGATAGGGTCATTCTTTCTGATGGAAGCATAGAATTCCTGTGTGTGTGTGTGTGTGTGTGTGTGTGTGTGTGTGTGTATACCACATTTTATTATATATATGTATATATACCACATTTTCTTGATCCATTCATCTACTGAGGGACATCTGGGTTGGTTCCATATCTTAGCTATTGAATAATGCTGCAATAATGATAGTTGTGCTGGAAGCTTTAATACGGCCTTATTTGTGATCATAGGGGTAAATGCTCAAAAGTGTGGGATTGCTGGGTCATAGGGCAGCTCTATGTGGAGTCTTTTGAGGAGCCTCCATACTACTTTCCAGAGTGGTTGAACTAGTTTGTACTTCCACCAACAGTTCAGTAGGGTTCCCTCTTGGCCACATCCCTTCCAGAATCTGTTGTTATTAGTTTTCTTGATTATAGTCATTCTAACTGGAGTGAGATAGAATATCAATGTTGTTTTGATTTGCACTTTGTTTATGACCAGAGCCATTGAGCATCTCTTCAAGTGTCTATTGTCCATGGCAAAAAGCTAAAGCCATTTCCTCTAAACTCAGGAATGAGACAAGGATGTCTACTCCCTCTACTCCTCTTCAATTTAGTATTAGAATGCCTAGCTACAGCAATAAGACAAGATGCAGACATAAAGGGGATCCAAATAGGGAAAGAAGAAATAGAACTCTCCCTCTTTGCAGATGACATGATCTTGTATTTAAAGAACCCCATGGACTCCACTCCCAAGATACTCAAGCTGATCTGAAATGTAGCAGGGAATAAAATTAATCCTCAAAAATCAATGGCTCTTTTTATGCGGATAATGAGAGGAGTGTGGCTGAAATCAAGACAGCAACTCTTTTTGAAATAACCTCCACCCCCCTCCCGCCAATAAAATACCCAGGAAATAACTAAAGAAGTGAAGGACCTCTATAAAACCTGAAAAAGAAAATAAAAGCAGAACTAAGGAAATGAAAAAAACCTCCTACATTGGAAGGATTAAGTTGTGAAAATGACAATACTGCCAAAGGCTATCTACAAATTCAATGCAATACCTATCAGAATTCCAACCTCATTTTTCAATGAAATAGAAGAAGCAATCCAAAAATTCATAGGGACCAACAAAAGACCCCAAATGGCAAAAACAATCCTTAGAAGAAAGAACAGTGTGGGAGGATTAACAATACCAAGTTTCAAACTCTAGTAAAAATCCATAGTAATCAAAATAGCTTGGTACTGGCACAAGAACAGACCTGAGGACCAGTGGAATAGAACTGAAGACCCAGAAATGAATCCACAGGCTTATACCCACCTAATCTTCAATAAGGGATCTAAAAAATAGAATGTAAGAAAGACAGCCTCTTCAGTAAATGATGCTGGCAAAATGGGTTAAACACCTATAGAAAAGTAAAGCTAGATCCTTATATATCACTGCACTAGAATCAACTCCAAAGGGATCAAAGACCTGGAATTAAAAACAGACACCCTGAAAACAGGAAGGCATAGAAAACCTGTAGGTCTTGTTGGCACAGGCTGAAATTTTCTTAATAGTGAACCAGAAACACAACAAATCAAAGAAAGGTTGGACAAATAGGATTGCATGAAGCTGCAGAGCTTCTGCATGGCAAAGGAAATAGCTAGCAAGATCAATAGAAAGCCCACAGATTGGGAGATCTTTACTAGCTACAACAGACAAGGGTCTCATATCTAAAATATACTTAGAAGTCACAAAATTAAATTCCCCTAAAGCAAATCCTCAAAGAAACAACGGACCCATAAATAAGTGGGCTAAAGACATAAAAAGTCTTTTTAAAATTTTTATTTCTTTTAATTTTCTTCACTTTATAAACCCAAGGATCCCAAACTACTCAGGAACTGTAAAAATGAATGGCAAATTGGGGTGGGAAAAACCCACTGTTCTTGTGTGTAACATGAACATTTTTCACATTAAAAGTAAGTTATAATCAAAATGCATAATAAAATTCTTTTTTTAAGTTTAAACTATTTATTTAAGCCATCTCTTGCTATAAGCAAAGTGATGGAAAATGGTTTAATTGTCATTTGATACAAGAAGGAAAGTGAGCTTAAGGTCCCATGTACTTTTCTGGTTCACGTGCAGAGGAATGGGCCAAACCAAAGCTGTGGTCCCGGGTGCCTGGGTGATGGTCCAGGTTCTCTTTACTCATCTTCATAGCCAGTGGGAAGAGGATTTCTATGAGGGTTATGGAATAGAGTATGGTTGCCATCTCCCCAGGGAAAGGGCTTGGGCCTGATGCGGAGATGGGGGTAGGCGACGAACTCCTGCCTGTCGTGCTCTTCGTGGCGAGATCTCAGGAAGACATTGAGCATGCTCACTCCCACTCCGGGCAGCGCGACGAAGTAGGTGAGGGCCTTCCACATGCGAGCTGAGCCCTCCTCGCCGTGCGCGCCGCTCGACCCATAATAAAATTCTTATGGGAAGATTTCAAAAGAGAACCTCATGTAAATTTAATAGTATAACATAATATGTAGTTATATGTAAAGATTTTTTGGAGTTGTAACTATTAAACAGGTCATGTTGTTTTATTTTATATATGAGTATAAGATGTTTCTAACATATTCATTCCCCCATATATTTTCCTTTAATCATTCTTACTTTTGTTGATATCCACCCCAACACAGACTCCATTTTACATTCTTGTCATTCATTCTTTTGAGGACTAGCTTTTTATATATCAGAGAGAAAATATGATTGTTGACTTCCTTAGTCTGGCTTATATTGTTTACCATGATGATTACTAGTCTATTCATTTTCCTCCAAATGACATAATTCCTATTAAAAATCAATTCCAAATAGATCATAGGTCCTAATGACATACCAGAAATGTAGAAACTTGCATGGGAAAGCATAAGGAAAATCCTTGAAGATACAAGCTTTGGTAATGCATTTCTGAACAGATTCCTAATTGCTCAAAAAGTAAGAATTGAAAAGTGAAATTGCATCTAAAAGGCTTCTGCAGAGAAAAAAAGTCTACATAATTAAAGAAGCTCTATAGAATAGGAGAACATCTTTGCCATTTATTTATCAGCAAAAAGATTAATATATAGAATACTTAGAGTTCTAAAAGAATAACTGATCCAATTTATAAATGGGCAGATGAATTGGACAGTTTTCAAAAGAGGAATTATAGAAGGCTGGCTATAAAATACCACTTAATACTAGTCTGCATTGAATATACTTATCATGGACTTAAAAATAGTACCCAAAAATGGGAAACTGGTCTAAATAGATATTCTTTTTCTTTGTCATGGGGCTTGAACTCTGGGCCTGGGAGCTAGCCTTCAACTCTTCAGCTCAGGTGAGCACTCTACCACTTGAGCCACAGTGCCACTTCCGGTTTTCTAGTGGGTTTATTGGAGATAAGAGTCTCACGGACTTTCTTGCCATGCTGGCTTTGAACCTCGATCCTCAGATCTCAGCCTCCTGAATAGCTAGGATTACAGGCATGAGTCACAGGCACCCAGCCAAAATAGGCATTCTTTAAAATAAGCTGTGCAAGTTCAATAGGTATATTAAAATGTTAAGATCTGTAATCATCAGAGTAATATAAATCCAGACTGCAATGGGACATCACCTTGTCTAGAATAGCTGTAAGAAAACAAAAGATGACAAGCTAGAAAATATTTGGAGAAAAGGGAACTCTTGCCTGTTACTTGATGGGAATATAAATTTAGTACAGCCAATATGGGAAGAGAGTGTAACATCTCAAAAATAGAACTATAACATGATCCAGCAAACTAACTACTGGATATGGACCAACATAAGGAAACCTATGTGGTAAACAAACATCAGCACTCCCTGGTTCATTAAATCACTGTTCACAGTAGCCAAAACATGCAAACAACCAAAATGATAAGTAGATAAAGTATGGTGAATATACTTAAGGAAATACTACTCCTCTATAAAAAAAAAACCGAAGAAATCCTGCTATCTGTATACCATATAGATGAAACTAGTGGTCATATTACATCAAAGTTGAGTCACAGAAAGTTGAGTACCACATGATCTCACTCGGGTGTAATCTCAAATAGGTGATCCTAGGGAAATTGAAGTGGGTTGGTGGTTGCTAGAGCCTGGTGATTACTTGGGTGCTAAGTTGTCTTTAAATAGGACAAGAAATTATGCTAATTAGACAGAAAGATGGAAAATTGTGTACTGTATATTTCAGAAAGGAAGAAGACCTGGGTACTAGAAGGCTGGGATCTAAGGGTGATGGTTCAAAGCCAGTCTGGACAGAAAAGTGCACGAGACTCTTATATCCAATTAACCAGCAAAATGCTAGAAATAGAACTATGGTTCAAGTGGTAAAGAATCAGCTTTGAACAAAAAGCTAAGCAATAGCTTAAGGTCCTGAGACAAGCTCTAGGACAAACAAAATCACATATATTCTCTCTCTCTCTCTCTCTCTGTTTCTCTCTCTTCCCTTTCTCCCCCCCCTCTCTCTCTCTCTCACACACACACACTAAAAGTAAACATGGAGAATGTTTCTTCTATAAAAATGATAATTGTTTGAGGAAGTAGACATACATAATGTGGGTTAAACATTACACACTATATACAAGTTTCTCATTTGTAAGTATAATTTGTATGTTTTTGTGCATCAAAGATTAAAAAACAAAATGCTTATAATTGCTTCTTAAGTGTAATACATGGTTGCCTTTAAAATTATCTTCTCTGGTTATAGGATGAGTAAAACAAGAAACAGAAAACTAAATATATCATGTATTGTCCTATAACTAGAATCTGGAGAATCTCAGGATTCAAACATAGGCGTCTCTGAATCTAAGTTCATTTATTGTAATGTAGAACAAACCATGTCACTGCAAACTCAAGAACTACACCAACTCACTTGACTAAAAAAATGCATACTTTTGTCATTTTGTCATTTTGTCGTATGCTTTTTAAACAGGGCTTTTGTGACTGGCCATATTTTGCCTTGATGTTGGTTTTACAGCTTAAATTATGTCTTCATCCTTTCAAAATTTTAATAGCATTCTTCAATATTATACCAAAATACTAACAATTATAATTATTAAATGCTTACAAACTACATATTTAATAATGCTTTAGAATGGCTGGTGACATAGTTAAAGAATCTCAGTAATTGGGCAAAATGAAAAGAGTACAGTTAAGTTACTTCAGATTTGTTTTTATTAATTTCTCCTTTGTGCTGTGGAGTTTAGCAATGAAGAATTTTAAAGAAGAGATTGAAGATGGATAATTAACTATTATCTATTTTCTTGATTCCAAGGTTTAAAAAATATATTATTCGGCAACACAAATATTAATTAGATGCTAATTAATAATTTCACCCATGAAACATTTACAAAACAAATATGCAAATCTTCGTAAACCAACTTGCACTCTTATGATGATTAGACTATCATTACACTCAGGAGTTATTCTGATGAATGCATAAGATTTTTAAGAGTATGACCTAATGCTAATACAGTGAAAATTTAAAACTTTTTCAGTTTGGGTTCTCTCTAGCTTGTATAGAGAATACATTTGTAATGTTCACTGAGTCTTTCAGATTGTTGTTTCCAATTTGAACCAGAACATTGGTTGCTAACACTTTTTGGTTCATTAACACCTTTGAGGATATAATGAAAGTTGTAAATCACTCTCAACAGTGAGAGAAATGCATTATGTATGTAAACAGAAGTTTGCACACCTTATGAGTTGTTCAAAATATTCTTTAAACTCATGTATCTTTTCATGTTAACAGCTGTGATATAAATGGGATTAAAATTTAATTTATACCTTAGGACAAATCTATATAGTTGTTGGTTGAAAAAAATCTGAGATTGTTTTTAAGATACAGTCCAGCTCTGAGAAAATTGATACCATATTGAATTCTTGTATATGATAGAATGATTAGCTTAAAAAATAAATTAAAAATAAATTAAATTATTATTAAAAATAAATTAAATTAAATTATTATTAAAAATAAATTAAATTAAAAAATAAATTAAAAATAAATTAAAAAATAAATTCAGATTCCAGATTCTTTCAATGTGCTCATGTTAGGAGGCTATCTGATTACACACCCAACAAAGGAAACATTGCTTAAAATATTTTGTGAATTATATCTATAGTTGTCGATCATCAAGGCTTTAGGTAGCATAATATTATGGAAACATTTTGCAAGAGATTGTTGAGCAGCTATTGGGATTCATTGAGTTACCACTGACAATTGAGAAGCTGTGGCTTCTCTTGGGAAGTTGGACAGTCCTACTAATAGATCCTCAATAGCAATGATGGCATTATAGTATATGTACTAAGAATTTCCTATTCGTGGTACGTAAAACTCATGTGCTAGGAACCAAAGGAGGACAAGTGAGAGAAAATTAAGTCATACAAGTTCCATTTTATTTCCTCAGGAAGTTAGTAGTTTAATTTGAACAAATCTGTACTTCAGCAAGGTATTAGGTAGTCTTTGCTGTGTCAATTTGAATAAAAAGGTAATAAAATTAGTACATTTAAGTCCAGAAACAAGTGTCTCCTCAATTATGTTGCTGGGCTTTTTTAAAGTTCTTTCTCATATATTGCTGAGTTTCTTGATAATATAAATAACTAGTTAGCAGAAATGCAAATTGAAGAAATATTAGAAACAGTATCTCTAAACATTTTAACAGAAAAAATGACTAATGTATATTTAAGAACAAATGAATCAAAGTGAACTTAAATCCAGTTATCAGTGACATGTCTACCAACCTCGGGCATTCATTAGATATATGTGGGGCAGAAATGTGTGCCCTGTGTCATGTTCCATGGGTGAAAAGTATCATGGTAACCTATGGAGTATAATATTTGATGTGAATATGATCCCTCAGAAAATTCACAGTTTCATGTTGCATGCTAAATAAATAGTGAGAATGCCAAGAAAGTACTACTAGAACAAAAAGCAATGCAAATCTACCTTATTTTGGTCTAGCTATTGTTAATTTTGTTGTTTGGGGCTTTTGATATAGATCCTTTTTGTGTAGCTTGGGCTGGTACTGACCAAAATCCTTCTGCCTCCTGACATTGCAGGCTCACTGGGTGCATTCAGAGGCTGTTTTACATAAGTTGTGCTATTTGAGCTCTGTTCAGTAGAAGTTTGCCCAATGGATAGAAATAGAAGGAAGGATAGTAGAGAGTGCATATGAGTGAAGGAAACACCAGCAACAGCAATGATGTGGAAGTGTGGTTTACTCATAGTAATGACACATACTTCCTATACTTCTGTATAAATTCAAGAGTAGAGAAAGTTCAATCCAAAAAAGAAAAGAAAAGAAAAGCAGATGAAAAGCAGTAGTGGAAAGATTTTTTAAATATATCTAACTAAAAACTATGACATATTATACAGCAAAAGGAGTAGAAGATAAGTAAATTTTAATTGTGATTCTTTGGTGGCCATTCAACCTT